GAGAAAGGTGAGGAGGCAAACAAGAGCTTAGGGCTCCATGCCTGGTCAATAGGTTGAGGGAAATCTCACAGGAAGATGAGGGGATGGGAGCTCTTCCTCCTGGAATATGACAAAGCCTCAGGTCTGCCTAGAGAAATGCCACCCCGATACAACCAAAGGCCTGATTCCAAAAGCCACAGAGCAGCCTTACCTCCCACCCAGCCCCAGTCTAGACTCCCAGCAGGTCACCTAGTAAAGTCATTCAGTGTCTATTGCCATCAATGAAAGAAATTTGATTGAAACTTTTTTTAATTTGGTACAGGGTCTTGCTACGGAGTTTGGACTCATAGTGATCCTCTTGTCTCAGCTTCCCCAGCGCTGGGATTACAGGTGTACACCACCATGCCCAGTTTCAGCGGCTGGCACAGTGCACCTGGGGTTCCAGGGCCAGCATGACATGCATTATCAGGGATTGAATGTCTGTCCTTGCACTTTCTAGAGAGGCACTTAGACATTGGAGCTATCTCCCCAGCCCTTGATTGAAACTTGATATAAATTCTGATATAAGGGCCGGCCAAATAGCTCAGCAGATTAAAGTACCTGCAAGCAGGCTCAGGGGACAGGGATTTGATCCCCAGGCCTGCTATGCTGGCCCTGCCCCCGGGGTGTACCGAGACAGCAATTAAGACTGGGCATGGTTGCACGCTCCTGTAATCCCAGCTCTTGGGAGGCTGTAAACAGGTGTATCACTATGAGTCCAATCTAGTAGTGAACACCTGTAGACCCTTCCCTAAAATACAAAAAAAATCTTAAAAAATAAATTCTGACATAAAAATAACAACAGAACATACGCTCAGCATGCACAAGGCCCTGGGTTCAATCCCCAGCACCAATAAATAAATAAAATGCATTCCTATGACTTGAGATCTTGAAGAAGAAGAAGAAGAAGAAGAAAGAAGGAGGAAGAAGAAGGAGGAGGAGGAGGAGGAAGAAGAAGAGGAAGAGGAAGAGGAAGAAAAGAAAAGAAA